CACTATATTCTTTTTGTTCATTTTTCAAAACACCACCATCACTTCATGAAGGAAATCCATTTTCTATTATTTTATCATCGATTGTTGTCTTTTTATAATTTTCATCACATAACCCTTATGTACACATTCACATAGTATCATCATTAATATAATTGACACAATGGCAATGAAGTGTCGACATGAGAATATTACAAAATATATTAGGTTATTATTTTTATTTCATTGCTTGTCATTTCCTTGATTTTTATGCACGCTTAGGTACACGCGTGCCATCTTATACATACATATATACATAAGATGATAGACAAACTTCTTTTTTCTTTTTTGCACGCATGCGTTCGATGAAAGTTTGTTGCTCTTTCCATCAACGCTTTAGATAGTTATGAATAAACATTGTTGACAAGAATATATTATCCAAATGATGTGGAAGCGTTGAAAACACACAGACATCCGTCAACAGACTTGACGTCAATAGACAGTTTCTGTTACTATACTTACAAAATAGATAATGATAATGATATATGTACTATAAATATACATGTAGAGAAACAAAAAAGCATGAAGTTACCTAATGACTAATCAATTTTAGCTATGGATGGATGAACAATTAAAATGGAATCCAGTTGAATTCAATGATTTAACCAACATCTCCATTCCAGCTAGTGAATTATGGCGACCAGATTTGGTCCTTTTTAATAAGTTTGTGACGCTTTTTTGATCATACTAAGTCTTTTCTATCTATTGCATCTCATCAAATGCACATATACATGCATGTATTGAAAGAGATTGTGTTGCTTGAAAACTAATTAAACTAAATAAGAACAAACTAATATTATCTATTCAAATTTTTTTTAGTGCTGATGGTAATTATGAAGTAACATTAATGACAAAAGCTACTGTTTATTTTGATGGTCGTGTTATTTGGGAGGTGAGATTACTAAAACTGAAACATTATTTATATTATTTGTTTTTTTTCCAATAGCCACCAGCAATTTATAAATCAAGTTGTACAATTAATGTGGAATTTTTTCCTTTTGGTTAGTTTTTTGTTTCATATAGGATGAAAATGATACTTAAGCGAAAAATCATATGGGAATGAAATAACATAACAGGACTATCTTATCTAATTGATATAAAAATAAAAACTGGTAGCTTTCAATCTTATGAGACTGAAACTAAATCTATTCATATCAGAACAGTGCGTTAGATTGATTATATAGAGATAAGCATATTGTATTAGGAACGTAAAAAACGCTAGACCTTGTTTATATAATATACTTAGACAAGGTGGAGTGGGATATATATTCTTGAAAAATACTTGACATGTTACTTATGAAAGAAATCAAAAGGAGACACTTTGAAAAATATCTAATAGAAAAGATAACAGTAATTCTCAAAAATTGGGTAGAAAAAATACTATTTTCATAGATTTTAAATAAATAAAAGGAGAAGTTTCGTTTTATGGATGAGAGAAAATGAACGTTTTTCCATTTAGATAGTAAAAGTGTGAAAAATAGCTTTGTATTTGGTTGATTTCATTATCCTGCCTCAAGTGAAAAGCAAAATAAATAAAGTATTCATATTCAGTGTGAAAAACGATTCTATATTATGTAGATTTTAGCAAAACCGACCCAGGGGATCACAGACAAAATTAAAAAAGAGATTGCTGAGAGGGAATACACCTACATTCTAAGAAGAAATTAGTTTCAGTTCTTGACATTGAATCTAAGTACTTTATTTGTTTTGCTTTTCACTTGAGGTATGATAATGAAATCAACCGAACACAAAACCTTTTTATAATGAAACGAAAATATTTAGATATTCAACATTGTCAAATGAAATTCGGTTCATGGACATATTCAGGTGAACAAGTTGATCTTGTTCATATCAATCAAACAAATGGTTCAGCACCTGTTTACGGCAATAATAGTAACAAAAAAATTCCTAAAAATATAAGATTAATCTATTAAAATTGTCTTTTAGGTGTAGCATATGCAATTGATTTAGCTGATTTTTATCGTTCAGTTGAATGGGATATAATGGAAGTTCCAGCCGAACGAAATGTTCGAAAATATACATGTTGTCCTCAAACATATCCTGATATAACATTTTTAATAGTACTTCGTCGTAAAACACTTTTCTATACCGTTAATTTAATCATACCATGTGTAGGCATATCATTTTTAACTGTTTTAACATTTTATTTACCATCTGATTCGGGTGAAAAAGTGGCACTTTGTATATCAATCTTACTTTCATTGACTGTATTTTTTTTACTGTTAGCTGAACTTATTCCACCAACATCACTTGTTGTACCATTAGTTGGTAAATATCTTTTATTTACAATGATTCTTGTCACATTATCTATTGTTGTTACTGTCGTTGTACTTAATATACATTTTCGTTCACCATTAACACATCAAATGCCACCATGGGTACGACGTGTATTTTTACATGTTTTACCAAAATTATTATGGATGCGTCGACCAAAAACTATTGATCCATTGAACTATAATATGTCATCAGTTAATCAAAATCGTATGAAACAAAATAATCGAGCTCCAACAACAACAAATTTTGTCATACCATTACTTCATTCAAGTCCATATCAAATCCGTAAACGAAAAACACGTTTACTCGATGATTATGATGTTGATTCTGATGGACTTGAAATAATAAATGATGATCATGAAATAAAACATAATCAACATCTCGATGAACCATCACTTTATCCACATGAAATAAAAAAAGCCTTCGATGGTTTAAAATGTATTGCAACACATATGAGACAAGAAGATGAAGAAAAAAAAGTATTATTAAATAAATAATATTTAAAGCAAAAACTAAAATCCTTTTTTTCTTTAAGGTTAAAGAAGAATGGAAATATGTTGCCTTAGTTATTGATCGTCTTTTTCTTTATATATTTACAACAGCTTGTGTTGCTGGTACATGTGGAATTATTCTACAAGGTATTTTGAAGAGTTTTTTTTCTTATATAATAATTAAAATTTATTTTTCTTTTTTAGCACCATCAATTTATGACAATCGAAAACCAATTGATGTTATTAAATCTAATCGTTTTTAATTGAATATATATATTTTATTTGATAGAGAGAGAAAAAACAAAAGACATTTTATGTTGAATTAATCAATATAAATTTTTTTTTAATTGAACTTTTAAATGTTTGAAACCAATTTGAAAGCCATTCATTTGTTTGATGGCTTGATTAGCAGAATAGATATTATCATAGGAAATAAAACCAAAACATTTACTTCGTTTTGTTACTTTATCAATAAAGACCTTTTTTTTTTGTCAAAAGAAAAATATTAAAATGAATTTTTTTGTTGAAATAATTCGAATTATTACTTTAGCAGATAGAATATTTCCAAATGGTGAAAATGTTTGTGCTAAATCATGATCAGTAAATTCGGATGGAAGATGATAGATGAAACTTTATAAACAAAAAACATTTTTCTATCAATAAATGTTCTGCATATACATACAGATTAGATCCTAATGGTCCAATTATTTGCTTTTCATCGTTTATATTTATTAATTGAGAATTATTGTTATTTTGTTGTTTAGTTAATAATGGAGAATTATTATATTTAGGAGATGAAAGGTTATGAATATTTAATGTTCTATTTGTAGTTGATGACAGGAAGTCATCTAATCGATGAAGATGATCATCATCTGTTACATTAGGCCATGTATATGGATTTATTTCATTATTGACAAAGAGATTAGTCAGTGTTGACAGGTTATCTAGAAGAACATTAGAGATGATACATAACAGAAATCATATCGAATTAGATTTGATTTGTTAAAAATAGGACAAAAGACATGTATTTTAGATAATCAGTGTTGTCATAATGAAAAATGATGTAATTTACAACTAATAAAAATAAACAATTCCAAGAGATGTACCTTTATTATTAATTATATGTTGTTGTTTTGTATTTTGATCTTCATCATATAATAAAGATGTATTTATATTCATTCTATTAACTGCAGAAATTCGATCATTTAATTTACGAGAATTATTTTCTATAGTTCCGACATCTTGCCACTATATTTGTTTTTGAGAAAAGAATTAGTTTATTTTCATTAAAAAAATACCTCAGTTTTTGATGCAAAGATATTAGAAAGTGAAAATATATTATTTGTATTACTATCTCCACAAGATAGATCATTGGAAGAAAGTTGATTAAAAAGCATTAAATTAAAAGAATTTAAATTTTCATTTGTTTTATTTGTTGTTATCTGTTGACGAAGATTTTCATTAAATTTTTGTTGTATTTTTCTAACTTCTTTATCTTTTGATGTATCAGCAAAACGAACATTTAATGACGATAAACAACCATCCATTGTACATGAATGATGCATAGTTTTTATAGCATTGAAAGCTGATTGTCGTTTTTGATAAGTTATAAATGCACAACCACGTGATCGATTATTTAAATCACGAAGTACTAAAATAGAAAAAACAATGAAGAAAAGAATTTTTCTCAATATAATTACTAACCGGTACATTCTTCAATTATACCAAATGGTAAAAATAATTGTTTAATATCATCTTCATTACACGATTTTGATATCATACCAATGAAAATTTTTCTTTCATTACGATTTTCTGTATCAGCTGGTTTCATTTGTATAGCATGATGCATACCAGGTAAAATCATTAAATTATGTAAAGCATTTTGAGCATTAAGTGCAGCTTGACGTGTATAATAAGTTATAAAACAACAACCTTTGGATTCACCAGTTTGTTTATCACGTAAAATATTTAATTTATATATTCGTCCATAATGTTCAAACAAAAGACGTAATTCATTCTCTAACATCGTCCGTGGTATTTGACCACAAAACATTTCAATAGCATCAGAATCGGGTTCACCAATTAATGATTGATAGGGTAATGTAACATCTAAATTAAAATATTTAGTTTTGGTTTTTCATAGAGATAAAATGTTTCATTACCAAGCATGATAAATTAGAGAGATTGAAATTTAGTCGAATAGAAACAATAAAACATAGAAGAGTAGCACACTGAGCTACTGAAATAATAAATCTGTTTTACACAACGAAAGGAAGAAGAAGATATATATATGAGCGCCGAATTTTTACTATAAAGATTTAATATTTATGCATATAGATACATAGATTTTTGATCTACTTGAAATAAAGATTATACCACCTGTGCAAGTGATGAGTCAAGAAAAGAAGTCATTATCAATAGTTAAAGTTTTTTTGTCTTCGACATTTTATTTCCATTCTGATTTTTCTCTTCACTCTTAGTTCTTTTTTTTTTAAAAACACCAAAAATTTCTATCGAATAGTACATAACGTAATAAACAATGAAATGGACATATAATAAGAAAAAAAAAAGTTCATGTTAAAATTATATTTTATTTGAATACAACTAATGACATCATAGCAGCAAGGCATTGAACAATATTTGAAGTCATTAATGCATCGACATTTTCTTCTAAATGTCGTTTTGGATCTTGTTTACCAACATTTCTTATAGCTAATTGTTCCGGTGTCATTTTTTCTTCTTCTTCTAATGATTTTATATAATTTTTCGATAAATCAAGCATTTGTTTAACAACACTGGCATTTTGTTCACTATGTTGATTAAAATCTTGAATTGTTAAACCATCCATCCATGATTTTTTATGTAAATTTAATAACATTTTTTGTTCTAATTCATTTTTTCGATAATTTATACTGATCGAATAATAATGACGATTAAGACCATGTATTAATGCTTGAATAGATGGTTTTGTTAAATGACCTAAATTTGATGTTGTTTGTCGAGCTTCTTGGCCAAGTACAAATGAATTTGGATTAATAAGACGAAAGGCATCTATAACAACTTTTCCTTTAACACTTTGAACTGGATCAATAACAACAGCCTAAAAGAAAATTATTAGACTATAATTTTTTTTTCTTCGATATGAATAAATAACTACATACAACTGTACGTTCAGTTAATGCTTCGAAACTCTGTTGAGTATTTATATCTACACCTGATAACCAACAACCAAAACCTGGATGGGAATGATACCAACCAACAACCATTTCTGGACGACCTGTTTGTTTAAGCATATCAAGCATTTTAGATTGAAAGACTGGATCAACAGCTTCAACACTAACACCAGTACCGGATTGAGGCATGGCAAAGACATCAATAACACGTACTGTGTAATCATCAATAAATTCACCTAACATTAATCTAAATTAAGAAAAAGAATTACAAATAGTTTATGAACACAAATTCTTTACCCCATGACTTCCATTGGTACACCAGCACGACCATGTTTAAGCATTTTCAAAAGTGATAAAGATGATATATAAACTTGTTCAGCTGTATCAACCATTGGTGTATCAGCTGGAGCTCCACCTCCTTGTAAATCTCGGGGTAATTGCCCAAGACCCATATTACGCATAAAACGTTCCATTTTCTATTATTTAAAAATCTAAAAATTAATTTATCATATACAAATATATTTCATAGAAGTTCATAAAAACAAAGTACTAAATTTCTTTCAATATACTTTTTATGAGTATCAGAATTTGTCATTCTAATGAATTAACTTTAAAAAAATCTCTTGTTTCTATCTATGTCATAGTAAACAAGGATACTGATTCATAGTCAGCCATAACCAGTAACAACTTCTTCTTATTTTCATTCGTCTATTATTTCAACCAATAGAAATGACAAACAATCTATAACTGTCCTGTAACTCGTAAAGATTGTTTTCTTGATCAGGTTAGGTTAGTTAATAATGACGTCTATTTTATTCCGACGCGTTCAACCTAATATTGTTGGTGCACTTTTACGTAAAAATGTTGATGTAAGTTTTAAATTATTGCTAATAATCTTCTTATTGATTTGTTTTTCTATTTCTAGCAAATAAGAAATCTTTCATCAATAAGTGTAAGTTATTATTGAAGAAAATCATTTGTTGTTTGTTGACATATTTTCATTTTTTTCTTATTTTAAGACTACTGCTGAAAAAATTACTGAATCACATAAATATCATGTTACTGTCGTACCGGGTGATGGTGTTGGGCCAGAATTAATGTTATGTGTACGTGAAGTATTCAATGCAGTTGGAGCACCAATTGAATTTGATGAATTACTTGCTAGGTTAGATTTTAATGAAATAAATTCTTTTTTATTATTTATAATATTTAAGTGAATTAATGCCTGGTCGATCTTCTTCACTTGCTGATATAGTTGCTTCATTCAAGCGTAATCGTGTTGGAATGAAGGGTATATTAACAGTAAGAAATTAATTAATTTTATATATTTGTATGAATAAATGAATAAATATTTAGACACCAGCTATTAGTGAAGGTGGTGATCTGATGT